AGTCGACTTATGTTTTGTGGGAATGACTACCGCCATTAACACGATTGAGGTTACCAAATTTATGCTCAGATGGTATTGACATATTGTTCATTATCACAATATAAAATACGTGATTTAGATCATCGGGATTTTATTCAAATGAAAATATATATATATGTGCAAATAAAGAATTTAAATTGAAGAAAAATGAATAGGGTCAAATTGTATTCTCAGGACCCAATTTGCCATTATTAGCATGTTTCATCGTCTCTGGCATTCATTTTGGATTTATGCAAATGAGGTATTTATGCAAATGATAAATTTAACAAACATGCGAGTTAATATTTATTTTGAAGGCCTCAATACTCAATTTGCATATTATACAGCAGTTGAAATTTCCATCTTGATGCAGAGATATCTTCATAATAGCATGCGTGATCGTCATTGGCGTCCATTTTGGATTTATGCAAATTAGAAAAAATGCTCAAGGGTGCAAACTGGGCACCCATTAGAATTTTGAAGCAGACATACTGGAGAACACATTTCAGCCAAAAAACCTAAGTCATACGCACTTTTACGCTTTTCCCAAAAAACTGGAGCTGGCAACCTGACTACAACCAAGTCTACCCAACAGGAAGTTGAAAAGGACAGACAGTTAAAAATAAATCTGTTGTAAACTAAAATGATTTGACCTTTAAAGTACATAAAAATGATTAAATAAAACAAAACCTACAAACATGTTTAACTTTGACATTTAAACTCAGTAACTTGTCACTAAAATCTGCAATGGTTTCTGCAGCCATGATAAGAAAATAAAATATCCACAGGTCATTTGGCCACCTGTTTTTCTGAGCAAAACGATTATGAAACAAGCCATTGTTAATGACATAGTCCCCCCCCCTTGTAATTAAGGGAAATATTATTCATGTCTAAGATAAAGTAATAGGGCTGTAAAGTCTATCATCTTTTATCTGATCAGGAATTGAATTGTTATGGGCATGTATTGTATCATACACATATGCCTACAAGCCAGACTGCCATCACAAAATAAAGCTGTATCACCTTGGATACATGCGACACATGACATAATATCAATAAAAACTGCAGATAGGTGAAAAAATGGCTGCCAGACCATTTTTCATTTGACTGTGAAACTAATTTTCATGGACAAGAAAAAACAACATATTTCTAAAAAACAAGATGGCTGCCAGTTGACCATCTTGGATTGAATCACCAAACCACTATATATGCACATGTCTCACATAAAGTACTAAGCAAAAGCCAAGATTAAACGCATTCAGTCCATAGGGTTCTGAAATACGTCTCCGAACAGACAGTAAAACAGAGACCAAATTATAAGTCTGTTTTCTAACTTGGTTCGAACATGGACTAATGAGCTATTTATCAGTAAAAAATGATTATTTTTTAGAGCTTCGTGTGCGATACACAACATACTGTATGTATTTCTGTATGGTAACTGCATTTTTATGTACACTGTCAGCACATGCTGCAATGAAAGCACATTGCATGAGTTCCCATATCACAATAAACCCAATTCTAAAGTACTTGGCACCACTTCCTCTTCAGACATCTATGTTGGCAAAAGCATGGAACTAAAAACCCAGGATGAAAGGCTATACAAAAGAAAACGACCCAAGTAGGAATAAAATCAGTCCTCTCTCCATTTTTAGCTCAAATCAGCTGTATATATGTTTAGACTAACAATAAGCATCAAGTCTAATTATTAATTAGTAACCAGCAAAATTTGAAGCTCTCGAACAATACATCTTTTTAATCTGATTGATCCTCATGATAAAGCAAACACATTTACTACGTTCACGTTACGGGATCTCGGCACGTGCCGAAATTTTTAATCCGTTGTGTTTGCAGAGGGATTACATCAGTTGCATTCACGTTATTCGGTACCCACTTAGGACTGACTCGGCTCGTGCCAAAATCACGCCCTCATTCGTCTGTTGGCCCAAACATATTGTGGAATTATATCCATTTATTGCTATGGTGTTTATTACGAGCCATCGTGCACATGAACGGCAAAGAAGATTTGAAACACAATTAGTTTTTTCACATCAATGTAGTATTGCAAGAAACTAGCGGTTCTAGCAGCACATACATATGTGTCGCTGACGACGGTTTGCATTCATTTCCTTTCATTACTACAGCATCCGAACATAAACCATGTATATCTGAATTTCCTGTCATCGTCATTTCATACTAGTATGAATCAACTTATGTTTTCTTAAATTTACCACCAAGGGCGTGATTTCGGCTCGTGTCGAGCGTTCAGACAGCAAATCTCGGCATATATCAAGATCGAGATAGAGTTCTTTTCGGCATGTGCCGACTCTAACGTGAACGCCACTTTTGACTACATTTTTTAATAATTCTATAACTATAGAATAAAAACAGATTTAGCTCACATGTAGACATCAACTTAAGGTTGCCTGAACAACTCTAACACACAACTGCCCTATACAGTAAAACTTTATTTTAAGTGTTTTTTTTAATTTCACTATTTCAATGCTAATGTCCCATGGCACCATGAAAGAGTATTCTTTTTTGTGTTACAGTGACATATTATGCAAAACTTATCCTAATATTTCTGAAAATCACTATTTTTAGAACAACTGCATTTTTGGCATTTTTTAAAACCCAGACTTTTGAAATAATTGAGGAAAACATAATGTATTCTATCATTCACAATACATGATTTGTTCAGCCTATGTCACCAGGCTACAATATGAGATATGGCATAATATCTGTGTCATGGGAACCTATAGTAAAAGCATTATATTATAATACTGTCAAAATACACCACTATCCACTGAAATTCAACCATTACTTTCGCAAAAATTAAGCTGGTGATCCCCAACTTTTTTAACTCGCTATCCTTATATTGCCCGGAAGTACAATTTATTGGAAAATGAATAAATTATGGGTATTTTTATTTTATGAGTAGGCTTCTACCTTAATACCAAACACTTCCACTCAGGAACATTCAAATTCCAGTCTTTGTTTTTTAGGTAATAATCATGGTTTATAAACCTACAAATAAATGATTGTAGCATCTTTGTTGATTTTAGACTCACAGAAGCCCCTTCCAAAACAACAGCAATAGTGGCCTACATTTATAATGATTACATATGCAATTGTCAAGATTTCCTAGAAAACTTGGACAGATTTGAGTGCAGAGAGGAAATAGCGATAGTTTCTTGTGATAAAAAACCTTGTCAATCGTTGTCATGTAACAGTGATGGTAATAAAACTACCCCTTGTTATCTTTTTATAAGCATTATACACTTAGCACAGTAATATCAGTTTACACCCTCAATTTGAAAAGCTAAACCTCTGTAAATTTGTAAAGTGTTCCTTAAGGCCCCCTTGCCCACTCTCTAATCCTAACCATGCCCCTCCATTACCCTCCCTCATTTCAGTTGTATAGACCTTTTCTTTGGGTCACTTATAAAACTTGTCTAAAATAAAAGAAACTTACAAGATCAACAATATTAATCAACTAACCAATGAATTTATTCAATCATGGAGAAAACAATTAAATAAAATAGAGAGGAACAAACTTAGAACATATAGAGAGAAAACACGTCTTGAAGTATTTTAAAATAAAAATTAATGAGTTGTCCAGAATGGAAAGCTTCATGAAAATAATGGGAAATAATATGGCTTTGTCATATTATTTAAAAAATACAATTTTCTAAAAGTTAAATGTGTAACTGTGGTCTGGGAGAACCTTGCTGTTGTTTAATCAATTTTTCAGAAATTTTGTAATTTTTGTTTCTTTCTTTTGTTGAATTTCAGTGTATTTTAATTTTAGTGTTTTAGTGCGTCTTATTTAATTTGTCTTTTGTAATCATTTTTTACCTTACTAAACCCACAGATGGTTAAGTTGCGTAATAAAGTTATTATTATAATTACTTTGTGGGGAATATTGAATTATTTCGGGGACTGGACTATTAGGGTTAGGTAAAAAATGTTTAAAGTGAGTGGACACCTATAAACCACAGTCACTTGGGGGCTGAAAATCAAAAATAAATACTAATTTTTTTTTTAAAAATCATCCGCTATACGT